ACACTTTTCCTCCTATTTCTCTAGGATAGCGCAGGGTGGGGCAAAAGTAGATTTACACTTGTGAGCACATGAAACAGAGAGTTTATTCTTGCTTATTAATTTACGTATTATTTTCCATATGAACAACTGTAAACCTACTTTTGCCCCCCCCCGTACAGTGAGCCAGCCCTCTGAAATCCCTTTGCTATGCTGAATTGGGTGAATTACTCAGACTCTGTGGCTGATTTTTGGTCTTCCCAGGCAATTTGAGTGTCTTGACCCCTGCTTAGCTGTTATATGCATATGCATATCCCTGCTGTTTTGTTCCCAGGTCTTTTTAGCTGAGTGCTTTTTGCAAAGCAGAATTATTGCTTTCCCTGATGCATGGTATCCAGCTACCCTGACCCATCTTAGCTGCCCAGTTCTGTTCACACAGCCCTTTCTGAGTCCGAATGCAATGCGGGTCCATTATTTGGGCTGCATGAAATGTTTGCATTTGCATTCACACTCTCTCTCCTTCTGGTCAATCTTTTTCTTTTTTTAATCCTTGGTAGGATTAAATATTTCTATTGATTTTTGAGACGGGGGGAGAGGGAGAGAGAGAATATGAATGAATGAATGAATGAATGAATGAGAGAGAAGGAAACATCGATGTGACAAAAACATTGATTGGTTGCCTCCCATAAAGGCCTGGACCAGGGATTGAACTCGCAACCTAGGTATGTGCCGTGACTAGGAATCCAACCCATAACCTGCTTGGTGTATGGGACAATGCTCCAACCAGCTGGGCTCCTTTTGGTCATTCTTACTCAACTCCTCAGAACATTTGGCTCCCTTTCTTATTCATGGACCTAATAGTAGAACTGTTCTAGGAATGTATTTATCAAACCTATTTTTATTTGAATATAAGGAAGGTGATGGCATCATTAACAAGTGACCTTATTTGGATGAGGCGTATGTTTGTGACATTGGTGCCTGTGGATAGAGAGACCGTGCTCCCATCTTGGCCGGACAGTGAGCTCTGGGATGACAGGGGCCATGCCTGTCGTGGCCAGCACTTGAGCCCAGTTCCTAGCGGCATGGTGTCTGGCCATAAATACTCTTCGAATAAATAGATTTTACAAAATTGATTAACTTCAGGACTTGGGGGTTGTTTTCTCTTAAAAGAAAATAATGTAAGTTTGCATCACAGGATATTTTGTTCCTAAAATTTGTCATGTAGTTAAAGCTGATAGATCAGCAACAATGGTGAAATGCTGATGAAGGACATGTGTCTCTTCGATCTGTGGAATGTCTGTATTCTACAGTCTTCGTTCTGAGCATGTGGTCAACTAGGCATTGTCTGACTTCAGCATTTCTAATCTCTGCTGAAGCACTTGAGAGCCTGGCAGGTAATAATGGTGCCTTAATACCACTTATTCTCTAACAATCAGATTGCCTTGACATACCAACTTCTCTTGAGCGCTCAGGTGGCATCAGCTCCAGGATGACTTTGACAGGTGTTTCTGATGGGCAGCAATAAGGCTCCTTTCCCTTTTCCAGGTTATCTGGTCCTTCTACAATCAAATAGTTGGGGCTTTAATGCCGGGCAGAACTTCTCAACCTTAGTACTATAGACATTTTGTGCTGGGTAACTCTTTATTGTGGGGGCTACTCTGTGCAACGTAGAGTAGAAATAGCAAACCTATTTTATTTGAATATAAGGAAGGTGATGGCATCATTAACAAGTGACCTTATTTGGATGACATTGATACGTCTTTTTTTTTTTTTTTTGCTAATCAGAATGTTCATGGGTTTGTAAAAGATGACCACGTGGTAACTACCTTATTTGTTCTTACATTTTCAGAAATGAACATAAAAAAAAACTACTTGAATAGGGATTTTTTTTTCTTAATACGTGCCAAGATTGTGTGGCTGTAAAAACAGAAACGAGTTAGAGACAAAAGGATGCTGACAAATACTTAACTAGGAGCACTATTTGTTTACTGCACTATACACCAAACTCAATCATTATAAAGATTCACGATGGAAGTTGGTTCAATTTCAGCAGCATCCCAGGCCTCTACCCACTGGATACTACTAGCACTGCCCCAAATGATGAAAAGCGTGTCTAGGCAATGCCAGATGTCTCCAGGGTGACAGTTTGGTCCATTTGAGAACCCAGATGGAGAGGGCTTTATTGAACTGATTGTGCCAGCACGAGGAGGTGATACGGGCAGAAGATGACCTGGTAATTGTCTATCCTTGACCAAAGCATAGGGCAGTTCTCATGAATGGATGAATGGATTCAACAATTCTCCTCAGTCTGAGGCAATCAATCACCTAGAGGTGGATCTCAGTGTCCTCTTTAGCTCCCACCTTTATCCTTTATCTCATCCCAGTCTACCCTCTGAACAACCATTCCATAATTTTTAGACTTTAAAAAAAAATTATAGTTGATAGACAGTATTATAATACATTAATGTATACAGTATAGTGACTCATCATTTATATACCTTAAAATGTGATCACCTCAGTAAGTCTAGTAACCACCTGTCACTGTTCATACTTATCATAATATTACTGACTATATATAACCTCTCTTCTGCCTTCTTGTGTTGATAAGGCTAATATAAGGTCTAGGGTCTACATTTGACAAACCAACTTGGGTATATAGAACCCAATATCCTACAAATTATTCTGTGCAGTGGCTTCTGACAGGTTAAAAATCCTTCACTGTTTTTATTTTTATTTTTTTAAATATATTTTATTGATTTTTTACAGAGAGGAAGGGAGAGAGATAGAGAGTTAGAAACATTGATGAGAGAGAAACATTGATCAGCTGCCTCCTGCACATCTCCTATTGGGGGTGTGCCCGCAACCAAGGTACATGCCCTTGACCGGAATCGAACCTGGGACCTTTCAGTCCGCAGGCCGACGCTCTATCAACTGAGCCAAACCGGTTTCGGCCCTTCACTGTTTTTAAAGCGTCAAAGGAAAACGTGAACTTCAGTATTGATCCATAATCTGACCAATTGGTGAAGAAGGCACCGTTACCTGGCCCTGCACTTTCCCATGCACTAGTGCTGACCTTCCACTCCAGTATGCTGCCGGGCTCTATGCGTTTGCACACAGTGTTCTGTATTTGGGACTCTAATGCACAGTGCTTCATGTGTCCACATGTTAGCATCACCAATCTTTGGGGAGAGCTTCTGAATGGCTCCCTTCATGATTTCAATCCATGATTAGAGAAGAAAGGCAGAAAATCTAACTGCATGTTTTATTACTGCATTGGGTTTTCTCTATTAGGCCTTACCTAGCAAAGGAGGAAGAAAAGGTATAGGTCATCTCCAGCACAGAGAATGAGTTTTTAGAAGTCTTAAATAACAGTGCCTTATGCTAAACAACTGAGTGAAGGAAAGCTCAACACAACACCCCCTGTGCTCTGGAAGGCAAGTTATATTGATATTATTGCAGATAGTTTACTTTGCTTCACATTGTCCTTGATCTCTTCTAATGAAGACACTGTTTAGACAAACTTGTTTTACATCTGACATCCTTTTATCCTAGGAAATAAATAACTGTTGTTCAAGATGTTATTGAAACAATGAAAAAATATAAAGTCAAAGGGAGATGTCTTCTCTTTGAATATTGCTTTTTAAGAGCCTTAACCCCACTTGTAATATATTTACTTTGGTTCTAGTGGCCAAGGACGTCAATATTCTTTTTGATGAGTTAGAAGCTGTCAACAGTCCTTGCAAAGATGACGATTCTCTCCTTCACCCTGGAAACCTGACCAGTACTTCAGACGATGCTAGCAGACTGGAAGCAGGGGGGGAGGTAAGAGTGTGTGATTTCTTCAAAAGACAGTTCCTGACCCAGGCGAGCACCTGTAAAGCCTATTCCAAGGGAGTGTTTAACGTAATCCCCTCATTGAACTGTATGTTCCTGATAAACAAGGAGCAGGTCTTATATTCTTTGCTACCTCCCATGGGTCTGGTATATTTCAGCACTTCTTTATCTACCTAGGCTCCAAACAAACTGTCCCTGAGTCAGGCAATTCCTATCTTATACCTAAAGATGTTTTGTTTATACAAAGGAAGATTTTTTAAAAAAATATCTTTCTATTGATTTCAGAGAGGAAGGGAGAGAGAGAGGGAAAGATAGAAACATCAATGAGAGAGAATCATTGATCGGGCTGCCTTCTGCATGCCCCACATTGGGGATCGAGCCCCCAACCTGGGCATGTGCTCTTGACCAGAGTCGAACTCAGGACCCTTAGGTCCTTAGGTCGACACTCAGTCCTCTGAGCCAAACCATCTAGGGCCAAAGGAAGATTCTTAAAACCACCTGTTATTTTTAGAAAATGTACATTCTGGGTGTCACTAACTAGTAAAATGTTAGCTTTACGAGGATGGATTTCCTTGTGTAACCTCCCCAGCACCTAGAACAGCGACACAAAATGAAGCAGCTCTCAATAGATTGTGTTGCCTCAAGCCTTTCTGAGTTTCCATTTGCCTCTGTAATCTGAAACTCATTGTAATTGCAAATAGACCTATCTGTTCATGTGTCATTTTGGAAAAAAGAAGTATTTTGTTAGAAGCATTCACTGTTGTTCAGGTTGGGTCTCTATGGATTTAATATCTCCTTTATGTATGCACTGGTATAGGTAATAGGAACTCAGAATGGGTCATTTATTTATGGCACATTTCTAATATTTTTGTTATTCCAGAGCCAGTTAGCCATGGAAAGGATGACAGAAAATTGTTTTCTTCCACCAGGTTTCCCAGGCTTTTCCCTGCAAGCACCACATGCTATTACTATCCATGTATTTTACTTGTTTGTTACTTTTCTTTCTTAAAATATATTTTTATTGATTTCAGAGAAGAAGTGAGAAGGAGAGAGAGAGATAGAAACATCAGTGATGAGAGAGAATCATTGATCGGCTGTCTCCTGCAAGCCCCCTTTTGGGGATTGAGCCCACAACCCAGGCATGTGCCCTTGACTGGAATAGAACCCAGGACCCTTCAATCCACAGGCCAGCACTCTATCCACGGAGCCAAACCAGCTAGGGCCATATATTTTACTTTTAAAGAAAAAACTCATTTTGTCATGTTCTTCATAGATACTTTGAATGCCATGGTATGGACTAATGGAGGGATCTTAAAAGGAACCTCAAAAAGCAACTCATCTCAATTTAGATGAGGAAGCAACCTCAGGAAGGTTAGGGCTTTGCTAACCCTCCCCCTGATCCCTTGCTGAAGCCCTGTTTTTGTTGTCAGGTGCTGAAGTGCTAACTCTGTAGGATAGTGCCCTTGCTTGGAAAATAATGAAGGAATTGTTTACTTGTCTACACTTCTGAGTACCTTTTAAGGCAAAAATAAAAAAAAATACTCAGAATTGGTCATCAAGTGTAAATGTCTATGGTAATGGACACTTACCTTCCTTCCTGGCTGGCATGCTCCTTTTACATGAGGTTGCATGCATGGCACTTGTGTGCAAGAATATGGATTTGCTATGGCCTTGGCAATTGGGCATGTTTGCCTTCCTCATCCTGTCATTTGGAAACATGTATACTGTGGCCCAGAGAAAAGGTAGCTCCTCCATTTCCACTTGTTAATTTACAGACATGTTTACATGAACATCAGCCTGAGAATCCTGGCCCCAGCCTGGGCCACCATACCTGATGGTCTCTGTCAATGTTGTTCATGATTGAAACACACCCATGGCGCCTGGACAAAAATGACACCTACTATTTCTGGGTTTTAAGCTATGAAACATAATAAAATGAACACCATGAAATGCCACCCAACTTATAAATTGGAATGGTATTTTTCAAATTATGGGGCAACCTAATTGTAAGTGACTAACTCCAGTTGTTTCCTGATGGAATGGAAAATTAATATTAGTGTGCATGCAAGTAGAAAAAATAGGTATTACTTTGTAAAACTTTTGTCTCAGATATTTTGTATGTGTTTACAAATATCAGAAAGTAAAATGTTTTTCTGAATTTGGGCAAAAAAATTCAAGAAACATTGAACTAGAACATTACTAAAGCTATCAAAGCAACTACAATTCCATCCTTTGACCCTACAAAAGGTATTATCTTCCTGAATGTTTGTTTTTTATTCTCTTTCTCTAAAATAGTTTTACCACATACACCTGTAGCCTTACCAACTTCTTTTTAAAGATTTATTTTATTTAGTGCTTTATAAAAAGTGGCATCATGCAGTATGAAGTCTTCGGTGACTTTTTTTTCTGTCAATGTTGTTTTTAAGATTTATGCTTATTACTGGATGCAACTATAGTTCATTCATGTTCAGGGCTGTATAAATACTCCACTGTATGGTCTACAATTTATCTACCTATTCACTTTTTCATGGACATTAGCACCAATTCTAGTTTTTTATTTTCTACTCTCATAAACAATGCTGCTATGAATATTTATATACATGTCTCCTCCTTGCTTTATCAAAAACGTCTCTAGGGTTGCATGTTATGCAAATGTTTAATTTTACAAGAGAATGCCAGTGTTTTCCGAAGTAAGTATATCCATTTTCACTCTCACTTATAGACTATGAGAATTCTCAGTTGCTATATATCCTTGCCAACATGTGGTATTGTTACATGTCCAAAGTTTTTCCCAATTGACATAGTGCTTTTTTCCAATTTTTATTTTGTTTACATGTTTCGCTAATAAAAAATGTAATTTTTATAAAACACAAGAATAATGCATTTTGTTTTAATTGTTCTTTAACATTACTCACCCAAGGCTCTGTTTTATGAGTGTCTGAAGCTGGTCCTTTCTCTTTGTATGCAGACAGTGCGGGAAAAAACCAAGTCAAATGGCCTTTACTTCAGAGATGGAAAATGTCGAATTGACTACATTCTTGTGTACAGAAAATCTAACCCCCAGACGGAAAAGAGAGAAGTGTTTGAAAGAAATATTAGAGCGGAAGGATTACAAATGGAGAAAGAGGTAACTAGTTGGCTTGGATGAGAAAAATATAAATATTCCATTATTCATATCAAGAGGCAATATAAAAAATTAGTCATTATGTTAACTGAGTGTTTTATTTGGTCGGAGTTTGCCAATCCAGTGTTTGGGGAATGTTCCAGCAATTAGACTTTCACAACACAGTTTGCCTTGAGAGCATTTTAATGCCAAATGATTTCGTGAAAATCAAAATACTCTATTCCCATGGAATCGATCATTTCAAAGTGTTATAATTTACCTGACTTCCTTTATCTGCTTCCTCTATGTGAATGGGGTGTTCTGGTCTCATGGATTAAGGCCAACTTTGCATAAAATACAGTCACCCCTCACGGGAGGCTGTTTTTACATTTGAAACATAATGAGCTTGGACATCCTCACTCACCAGAAGAGACTGGCCGACTTGGCCCCAAACAGCTGGAACTTACAAAATGGTTCCAGTTTTGGGAAACATTCTGACTGTTTTTATCATGTTCCCGGACTCAAGAGTTACCTCCCAGGATTCTCTCTCCCCCTTCCCTCCTTCCACTCTACATGGGAAGTTTTAAGGAGTAATTTCGTAAGAAAGGTACAAGAGGCCCAGCCACAATGAGACTGTTCTGTACCCAGAAATACTGTGTGCCTATGGAGAACTTGGTCCTGGGAGATGGATTATGTAACTCTTCCCTAAATATGGTGCAAAGATTATGGAGCTTTTCCTCATCAATCAGTAGCACATCTTGGCAATTAAAATGTTTTGTTTCTGATTATTCTCCTCAAGACTGAGGAGAGAGATCTTTGAAATCAACATGCAGGTTTTTCCTTGTATGGTGCAGGTTGCATGCTTCTCTTGGGACCCTTCAGATAAAAGGGACTTTTCCACATCTGTTAGACTGGTCTCAACTCTTGAGGATTGAAAAAACAAGCAGTGTTTTTTCTAGAATGTCTCCAGAAAGAGAGTTAGAAAAATGGCAAGATGAGTGTGGTCTTAGGGACTCCTTCTTAGGAAAGGAGCCAGATTGCCCAAAAGACTCAGTTGGAAGTGCCTCAGACAGAATGAAATATGCTGTTGTTTCCATTTTGTGTGGTTCTACCCCAATTGAACATGTCTTTGATGAATCTTGTTCTTTAGGTTCTTAGTGAGGCAACTGTCTAGTCTCTTTTCTTAACATTAATAGTGCATTAATTTATTTTAGCCTAAAATGTATCCTTTCATCTTTTATTCTTACTGCTAAATTTCTGGATTTTTATGTAAATAAGTAAGAGCTCTGAATTGCCACATGATCCTACATAATGTCAGTCCTTTTTCTGATCCATTCTGACCCTTTCAAAACTTTGATTCCCATCAGTTAGCTTCATTTAATTAATGATTTATTGCTGGGGTCCAGCCCCAGCAGGTCCAGGGGTCCCCAAAGGTGTGGACGGAGTTGGCGAAGAAGGAATGACACGGAGACAGCGTTCAGTTGATCAGCAGCCTAGGCAGGATCTCTAGCCAAGTTCTAGTCAGGATCTCCAGCGAAGTTCTGCCTAGGATCTCCAGCCAGGTTATGTGGCCATGTTCTCTCGCTAGGTTCTCCAGCCACGTTCTCCAAGTTCTCCAGGCAGGTTCTCTAGCCAGGTTCTGTAGCCGGGTTCTCTTGCCAATTTCTGTAGTCAGGTTCAGTCCAGGATCTTTTGCCATGTTCTCTCCAGCGAAGTTCTAGGTTCTGTGTAGGTCCTGTCTGCTAAGTTCTGTGTTCTAAGTTCTGTGTTCTAAGGTCTGTCTTCTGAGGTCTGCCTTCTGAGGTCCGTCGCTAAGTTCTGTCTCTTGTTGTCTTGTTGCATCTGTATTTATACCAGTTGATTCTAATCCTATCAATCTCTATTCCAAAGGTTAGGGCGTTTCTTATCTCCATTCCAGGGAGTAAAGATTATGTACTTAAGCATGATTGTTCCTAGTTAAAGTGATTAATTACCCGCCTGGCAGTTAAGAGGTTTTATTCCCTCCCTAAATTCAGGGGGAAATCTCTACCTGGGGAAACAACCTTTCTCAGAGAGGTGACCTTGGTTAAAACACAGTACCAAGAAGGTGAGCAAACATATTAAGAACAGTATGCCATATATGCCAGGTCCCTTGAAACAGCAAGGATGGACCGGCTCCCGGCAATTTATATTTTAAGTTTTACGACTATTTTCTCCATTCCTAGGATTTCTTCTATTTAGGTCTTTACAATGTCATTTCATGACTTATTAGTTAAAACTCAAAAAGCCCACTACATTTTAAAATAATGCACATAACTGAAGAGATGACAAATCTCTTGCATGTCTCCTGAAATATCTAAACTACAGCATCCATCTATCATTTTAATGCCAAGCAGGCATCTGGGAAGGATTATTCACCCTGTTTTATATACTGTAGTTGTGCTGACCATGGTGTGATGCTGGACTGCTTTCATGATTATGGTTGTTTATAGGATAATTTTGTTTGGTTATAAGTCTTAAAAATTTTAATGGCTTGGTATTTATTTTAATATATACTAGGAAAAAACACAGTAATTGGGAAAAGGGGTGATGTTACCATATGGCAAAACTTCATAAAAACATTCTAAGCATCTGTTCCTCCCCTTCGCTCCAGAGGTTTTATACTGAGCTGCAGTTTCTTTCTCCTTTATCCCACAGTCTTCTATCCACTACTGACAGCTAGAAAGAAACCTTCTTCCTAAGTAGCCTTTTCCACTACCCGGTTCCTGTCTTTTTCTGCCACCCTTTGCTTAAGTGGCACAATTGGCTATCACCCTGCCTCTGGGCTCTGCTGTGCATCCTTAATGCCCTTAGCCAGCTCAGCAAGAAGAGGAGCTTTGCCCTAGCCAGTTTGGCTCAGTTGTTAGAGCATGGGCCCGCGGACCAAAGGGTCCCAGGTTTGATTCCAGTCAAGGGCACAGACCTCAGTTGCTGGCTGGATCCCTGTTTCTGGTCGGGGTGTGTGGGAGGTAACCAGTTGACGTGCTTCTCTCACATTGATGTTTCTCTCTGTGTCTCCCCCTCCCCCACTCTCTCTAAAAATCAATGGAAAAATTTCCTCGGGTGAGGATTAACAAACAAGAAAACCGATGAGAGTCTGGGTGGACATCCCTGGTGTCAGATGACAGAGGAAGGCACGGGTCAGGGGGGCTTGGTCAGAAGAAAATTATAGATAAATTAATTTTTTCCTGCCACAAATAATTACAACAATGCCCCTTGGTTGAACAATAAATCTGTACTTACATGGCATCATTAGAGTTAGAAACCATCAGAAGCACTCTTATTTAAGTCAAGTGTTGTATAAACAGCTGAGAGGGAGAGACCATTTTAATGACTATTTCAGCTTCCGGAAGTTACTTCAACCTTTTATACCTAAAACAAAGAATTTGATTCAAGTGGAAAAGAAAAAAGAAAACCCAGGAGTCCCTAAACTAGTACATCTGAAATGATTGACACTAAGTACATTTTGTGAATTACCAGTGTCTTCTTCATGAGCTGTGTATCCTGATGTCCAAAAATGATGGAAAACATGTTACACAGGTGGGCAAAGACAGACTCTGTAGTTGAACAGTGTGACAATAAGATAATCCTTATCTCTTTTAACATTAAGTGTCAAGAAGCACAGCCAGGAGAATCTTTATTTCATTTAAATTTTTCTAATTTTATTGATAGACTTTTTCTTGGTATTTTCTTTCTCTGCTTTTATAACAAGGTACATTTAAATATATATATTTATTTAAATATATGGTACATTTAAATATATATATTTATTTTGATGAACTGCTGGGGTCCAACCTGAGCAAGTCCAGGGGTCCCCAAAGGTGTGGACAGAGTCGGCGAAGAAGGAATGCCATGGAGACAGCGTTCAGTTGATCAGCAGCCTGGCCAGGATCTCTAGCCACAATCTCCAGCCAAGTTCTGTGTCCATGTTCTCTTGCTAAGTTCTCCAGCCACGTTCTCCAGGTTCTCCAGCCAGGTTCTGTAGCCATGTTCTCTCACTGGGTACTCCAGCCAGGTTCGGTTTAGGTTCTCCAGCCAGGTTCGGTCGCCCGGCTCTGTAGCCGGGTTCTTCAGCCAGGTTCTGTCTAGGTTCTCCAACCAAGTTCTATAGCCAGGTTCTGTCCAGGATCTTTTGCCATGTTCTCTCCAGCGAAGTTCTTCTGTCTCTAGGTTCTGTGTAGGTTCTGTCTTCTAAGTTCTGTCTCTAGGATCTTCATCTAAGTTCTGTGTCTTTATTTCATGATAAAAGCAAGGACATAGTTGCCTTTCATCTTTCTTAAAACCTTTGCCCCAGCCTGGTTGGTCAGCGGGTACGTTCTTGTTTTGGCACCTTGGGTCTTTGATAATCTGTAACTTGTATTAGCCAGGAGAAAGCAAAAGAAAGCAAAATTCTCAAAATATTATTTTCAAGTGATTTGCTTCTTGGTGATATCTTATTTAAAGAGATTTCCCTTCCTAAAGGTACACACATACATGTTAATTCACATTTTGTGTTTTAGGTATGTTCCATTTTTAATTTTTGAAATCATTATCATTAATACAATGTATCTTTTCCTTTATATAAGTAGTCAAATCATGGATGACTTTTGAGTTATTTAGAATGTGTGCACAGCAGTTATATTAATGGAGCAGATTTTTCCTCTTTAGAATCACACAGAACGTGGGAGAAAACCCATATTATTACAGTCATTACAAAATAACTATAATTAGATAAATCATACCATCTTGATGGTAGTTAATTCATTCAACAAATATTTATTGCACGCTTGTTCTATGCCAGGCACTATTTTAAGCACCAAAGAACTCAGCAATGAATAAAACTGATAAAAACCCCTGCCCTGTTGGGACTTAATGTACAAAATAAATACATAAATATATGTAAAATATCAATAATTTCCAAGGAGAAGAAAGTAAAACAGGAAGTGTTGAAAGGGGTGTTCACTTTTTATAAAAGTTGGCAAAAGTGAGTCTCTTCCAGTCCCGGGAAAGAGAACAGCAGGTGCAAA